CCTTTTCAATGACACTAGTTTGAAAGGCCCTTGAGAGCTTTAACTTCCATGTGTCACCATAGCTGGCTTTATCCATCTCAGTCCTCTGAGGTCACTCTGTATCCAGCATCTTGCCTGGAATGTGTGCAGAGGAAGAGATCAGGGCTCCATCAAATGGCAACTGGTTGCCAGGATACCAGGATGCTCGCTGACGGGAAGTAGCTGTCAGAGCCACTAGTAACTGTCCTTGGCTGAGTCTTTACATAGGAGCTTCTCACCGCCCACCCTCCTACCCCCAATTTCATGGCATCTCTGTGAAGTAGGCTTCACACTGATTCATTTAACAGGTGGAGTTAAAAGAACAGAGCTTTTGCTGGGGGCAGTTATTTCCAGCAAAATGCCCATGCAGATCATTATAGTAACCTATTGACCACAAAATACAACAATTTTCTTTTAAAACTCAGCAAAGGAGAAAGTAGGGGGTGGGGTTGGGGGAGGGGAGCCCTGAAACTTAGAAATAAAATGAAACAGAAAGCCAGGGCAGCAGACATAGAAGCTATGACACACTCATAGTGACAGGGTATGTTCACAGCAGGGCACTGCTGCTGACACCACACAGAAAACCAAAGTGCCGACAGGCTCACTCTAAAGTGTGTGTCTGCTGGGGCAAAAGGTGTAGCAGGGAGGAATTTCTCAGTCTCAGAGCCAGGGGACAGAAGAGCCATCTGTAAGAGACAGAGCTTACACTACTAAGGTCCTGATCTAATCTTGCATACCTGAGAACTAAGGCCAAGCTAAGAACCCCACCTAAGAAGCCGTCCTGGGTGAGTGGTGCCCTGGCACAGCAGGCAGAACTCACCAGAAACTGTACTGGGGGAGGTTAATCATCCGTGTAAGATCCCCAGTGAGGGCGGGAAGTGGCTGACCACAGGCTAGGGTTAACAATTATGGCCTACAAGAGGATTACCACTCCCAAGAACTTAATCCAACAGAAAGTATATCATAAATGGCTACAGAGATAAACTGATATATATATATATATAAAAATCCTTAAGGAAGGAGCAATCTACTATCAGAGAAGGAAAAAAAGGGGGCAGATTTTGAAAAGTCCCAAAGAGACCATCTGCAAATCTCAACATACGGTCATTTAAATTAATGACCCGAGGGACAAATTAAACAGCAGACCAGACACAAATGAAGGAAAAATAAGTGAAGTAGAATAGAGTCTGAGGAAATATATCAGAATGGGACACAAATCAAAAGGCAAAAATGAAAGGGTTGAAAAGCATGAAATAGGAGACAGCCCCTTAAGCTTTTATGAGTACCCTGAAGAAAGGGCTAAAGAGAAATAAAGGAGCATTCCCAGTTTATAGGAGAATTTTCCAGAACTCATGCAAGGCGCAATTCTAAAATGCCTAAGGTATGACACATGGCTCACTGTAGAGCATGCGTGCCGTATCCCAGGCTGGAGACAGATTGTCTACAACTTTTCTAGACAACCTGTTTCATTGTCATAAGATACCCAGAAGGACGCCTCATATCTGGCAACGGGGCAGATTCGTGAGTCTAAAGAATGAAGCATCTTTCTTTGTCTGTCATTCTACGTAGTGAAAGATCTGGAGACTGAAGTTTGGAGGCGTTAAGCAACTTGTATAGGGTCACACAACTCACAGGTGGATGGGGTGTAGCCATCCAGCTGGAGAGGAATCATCTTAGGTACCATGCATTCTGCCACTGAGCATCGAATGTTAGGGCATCCTATCCCTGTCCTCCACTTAAAAAACTAGTTCCTGGGGGCAGGAGAGATGGCTCAGTGGCTAAGAGCACTGACTGCTCTTCCAGAGGCCTTGAGTTCAATTCTCAGCAACCACGTGGTGGCTCTCAACCATCTGTAATGGGCTCCAATGCCCTCTTCTGCTTCTGAAGACAGCTGCAGTGACAGTGTACTCACATGCATAAAATAAATTAATAAATCTAAAAAAAAAAAAACCACCTAGTTCCTGCCAGGATGACTCAGAACATTTCATACATTAGAAAGAACTGAGTTCAAATCCTTCCTTGGCTTTTTTACAGAATACTTCTATTACTATCACTAAGTCAACTTTACCTTCCCTTTAAACTGACAGTGATGACAGGGGCTACCTCTCAGAATGGCCAAGGCCATCACTGCTCATCATAAAGTATTTAGCACAGCGCCTAGCCTGACATCACTGTAGTTTGTCAGCTTCATCAACCTAATACAGTTGTCGATGGGAACCACCCTCATTCCTGACTCACCTTCTCCAAGAATGGAGAGTAGATACCCCAACAGGAAACAGTCCCTCTCAGGTACCATGAAGCAGTGTTTATAAAAAGGCAAAAGACTGCCTTCCAGGGACTACTTTGGTGATAAACAAGAGGAGGCAAGAGCTAATAAAATTTCAAATTAGCCGTGACTTTTCACGGCCCTTCAATTGTGCTAGCTGATTTAATGGTCAACGTTCCTGCTCGCTGGGATTGAATAATGGAGCGTCTCTGCAGAGTTATGGATGCAGCAGCTGAAGCTGTCATGCTAACATCAATAGCAAAATGCAAATAGCCCTCTGCTTGGGCTGTAATTATGTGTTTAAACAACGTCTGATGGGGGCAGCAGGGAAGTGTGGGAAGAGACCTGCTGATGGCAGGAAAGGGTGGGTGTTTTGCTAGGCAGTGCTACCTGCAAGGGAGAAGACAAGCTACCCAAAATTGTACTGAGGTGAGGGACACAGGATGGTTCTGCCAGGTAAATAGCATTCTCCCCCATTTTAGTGAACCATGTTCTAGGTTCAGGGTCAGAAAGGGAAACCACCCTTTATTAACCACCCACTGTGTATCCTATACTGTGTTGGATTTGGGGATCTAGTGCTATACAGTTTACTGTGGGATGGAAACTTACATGACACTCTTATTATGCTCATAAGAAACATAGGAAGCTGGCCAAGTGGCCAAGTAAAGTGACTCTGTGGGTGAAGGGACTTGTCACCAACCCTAACAACCTGAGCTTGAACCTCAGGACTCACAGGGTGGAAGGGGAGCTCATGGACTGTTAGCTTAGCTCTACATGCATACCATGGTACATGCTTATACACACATCAAAGAGAGAGAGAGAGAGAGAGACAGAGACAGAGACCAGAGAGAAACAGAGAGAGACAGAGACAGAGAGAGGGAGGAGGGAGAGGACTATGTAGTAATTCTAAAAAGAGAAAAAGATATAGGAAGCTGAGACCAGATAGCTTAAGTGACTTGTCCAAGGTCATACAGTGGGAAGATTCACAGCTGACATTTTGTCCCCAGTTGTCTAGCTCTGGGATCCAGACTCTGTCACTGTGCTGCCTGCTAGGAGGCCATATACACTCTTGGGTACTATAGAGGAGTGGGAGAGAAAGACAGGGGAATATTGTCAGGGAAGATTGTTCCTAATAGACTCAAAGGGGTGCTGGGATTGGGGTCAACCAAGAGGCTCGGCCTTTGACTAAAGATAAGTTCCCGTAAACACTGCTCATTCTGCCAATGAACATATCACAGAAGGGTAGACCAGAGGTGACTCAGCATTTGAGAAGCTGAGGACCTGAGGCTAGCCAATGTGTGCGCCATGCTTTGTGGATGCAGATTGCATACTGTAAGTCCTGGAAACGGAAGTTAGGTAGATGTGCCAGCATTACTTCCACATTATCGGTGAGGACACTGGTACTCAGGTTAAACTTGGTATTTGTCTGGTGCCAATCTTACAGAGAGTGCTAAGACATGAACTTTGGCCTCCATGCCTAATGATCCTACCATCTTTATCATTTGATGAATATGGTTGATTGAAGATATTATGGTCTGGCTTTTGCAGACTGGCATTTCATGTCATCTCCTGCTTCACTTGGTAATTATTTGGATTGTTGTTGTTGTTGTTTATTCATTTAACAGCCATTTTAAAAACATGTCTACTAAGTGCCAAGGATACAACAGCGATGACCAGAACACATCTATGGTCAGGGTAGTTAAAGTTTTCCAGTGTCACAGAGCTAATAAGCAGTCAAGCCTAGATTTGAACCCGGGCACTACACACCCCATCTCTGCCTGTAACACATACAGATATGACTGTGGGCTTTTCCTGTCCCATATCATGGTCACTATCTTCTAATGTCTGGGTTTGTTACCCATCCTAAATTGTTATTTGGGAACTGTAAAAGTACCTTGCAGTAATGAAGCCAAAAGTCTGTATTCTGGGATAATCTCATTGTTTGAACTTTTGGAAAGTTAGATGAGCTGAGAGAGCTTAGGATCCTGAGGAGATCCATCCGTGTGGTAAAGAGAACTCCATGCAAGTGACAACTCACAGAAGGCAGGGTTGGGCCTCTGCAGGGCTGAGTCACATGATTCCACAGCTGAGGGAGATGCTACAGTTACAGGGTTCTTAGCATCTCTACTTCCTGCTCACCCCAGTGTCGGGTGTCCACCAGGTCTTGGGTTTTACCTACTAAGTGTCTCTCAAGACCGTCTACTGCTTGTTCTCCATTATAGGCTGCTCTAACCCAAGCTACTTTGTTTTTCACACATGCAACCTCAGCACCGTCACAGGTGAAGTCACCTTCTGTCTCCAGACTGTAGAGGTACCTATAGCCCGAGAGTAAACTTCCAGCTCACTAGCACGGACCACATGGCCCAGCCCAGCTGCCTCAACCAACACAGCAGCCTCATCCATTGCTACCCCCTGAACACCAGCACTTTAGTTTAGTATCTCTGATGTCCATACACTCTCTCTCCTCTGAGCTTTCCCACAAACTCTTCCTGCTGTCTCTTTTGAAGAGGAAAGAAAGTACACACTGTATGCTTACTAATCTGTATCACCTATTAGACTGAAAGGCTGGGGCAAGACCTGAAGTAACTGGATCTCCTTCTGCTCAGAAAAAGCCTAGGCTTATGTCTACATTTAAAGTTGGCCAGTGAGAGAAAGACAGGCAAACATGGCTGACTGAACATAGCTGTATAAACGACATGCTCTGTCACCCCTGCAGATGGCTTGGTGGACTGCATGGACCCTGACTGCTGCCTCCAGCCTCTCTGTCATGTCAACCCGCTGTGCCTAGGCTCCCCTGACCCTCTGGACATCATCCAAGAGACACAGGCCCCTGTATCCCAGCAGAACCTGCACTCCTTCTACGACAGAATCAAGTTCCTCGTGGGCAGGGACAGCACACATATCATCCCTGGGGAGAACCCCTTTGACGGAGGGTAAGTCCATGGGGCTCGGCTCTAGGGTCTGCTCTTGGAGGGAGATTGACTCCATTCTGGGTGTGAGGAGACTGAGAAGGTAGGTGGGTGTCAGAGGTTCTAATGGGTTTTCATGAGAGGCAAAGAAGCAGCCTCCAGTACCCACATTGACAAAACTGCTGTCTAAGGCCTTCCAAATTATTATGAGCAAAGCTGCGCCACTCCCACTGGGTGATAGATGGAGAGAGTGAAAAACCAAAGGTCTGAGGGGAATCGTGGATCAATACCCACTTTGCAGTCAGCTCTTTCTGATCCTGTGGTCTCCACACAAGCTGATGGGCTTTGACACTGTTTGCCCTCAGAGCTGATGGAAGACCTTACTAATCTGGAGGCTGGGACCATTGCTGTACCCCACACATGTCTACATGTGGCCTCATGTCCATGCATTATTTTCTTTGACAGTTGTGTCATGCATTAGATATTTTCACACTGAGACACGCTCTGTGGCAGGTCCGGTGCTACGATGACAGAATCGAGTAGAACACACTGTCTGCCGAGTGGTTACTTACTGTCTAGTGGGGTAGAAAATAAATGCAGTTATAATGTTCTTGGCCAAAATATGTTGCAAGAATCCTAAGGGGCACAGAGGAGGTGCTCTTGGGCAGGAGAATCTAGGACATGGGTAGGAGAAACAAGTCTTAAAGACGAGAGACAGTTAAGTAGGCAAATGAAAGAGGGAAGGCTCATAGGAAAGAGGAAAGAGTTCACACAAAAACATGAGGCCTGGAGGGATCCTGGAGCCCTCAAAAGATGGCGCTGTGTTTCCTGCTCCCCAGGTCAGGGCATTGAACCAACACAGTAGCTAGAAAGAAATAATTATAACAACATCTCTGGGATGTCTTCCGATACAGTGATGTGTTACGTGTGCCTATCTTCACTGTGAATCAGCACAGTGAATCTGGAAGTCACCAATCATGAGCCTCCATGTTCAGGACTTCTGTGCCAAGGGGTCTCCATCCTGAGGGGAAATGGGAAGCGATGAGACTGTGGGAATGGGGAATCTGCAGGCTTAGATGGAGACGGGTGTGAGGATGGAGTGGTCTCCTGTGTGGATGCTTAGGTGGATGGTGCTGTTATCTGACACCAGGATGAGGACCTAAAGCAGAGCCAGGAGGAAGTCATGGCTTCTTCTTGAGCAGGGAAAGGGTAAGGTAGTGAGGCTCCCAGGAAGAAGTATCTGCTGCCTGTTGGAAGTCATCCTGAAGCTCTTGATTTGAGAGGCATCTACATCAGGCAGAGGTGACCAGTTACCACCCAGTGCTAGCTCCAGGAACAGCTGTTAGACTGGACACCAAAAGACCATGGGGCCATGCCGGATTCCTCCCGCTGTGCCACATAAGGTGGTTCCTGTGGTCCCAGGTGTAAATGGGAGCCCCAAGGCCTCCCCTCTGTGTGTGATGAAGCTTAGATACAGTCTCATACCTAACCTCAAAGCTCACCCATGCTATCCTAGCAGTCCTAGCAGAGAGCACAAGGACATGGGGGAAATTAAAGGAAAGAAGCACTATGCACCCAGAGAGAGGGTCAGACATGCAGCAGCATCCAGCAGGCCACCCTGCTGGATATGAGAGTTAGTGCTAGAGAGATGGCTCATTCTGTAAAGTGTTTGCTACAGAAGCCCAAGGGTCTGAGTTCTGACTCACACAAAGATTCATGGGTACATTAGAGGGCACACTCTTCAGCACACCCCAAAAGGAACGGGAAAGTTTATACTTTGGACCACAGGAATCACCTTATGGGGCACAGAAGGAGGAATCTGGCATGGCCCCATGGTCTTTCAGTCTTCACTCTTACATCCGCACAAGTCCAGTCACATGCTACAGTTAGGGACAGCAAGAGTAAGGGACAAAAGTGACTTTTTTTTTTTTTTTTGCCAGAAATGCTGCTTTTGTTCCTAAGCAGGAAGCTGCTGCTATCTTATTCAACTGTGTGATTTTGTGTGTATGCTTGTAGCCCTTCCCCTGGCATGAGTTCTTTTAATCAACTAGAGATATAAGTAATATTCTTACCAAGGAAAACTTTACTTGTTCAGCCTTTCATGACAGACCCATATGGCATCCGATTAGGGCTACGGCTTGTCAGTTGCCTGTAGCTGTTCTGTTTAGGGAGTGCCCTATTTATGCCAGCCTGCTCTGTGCCAGCAGAAACACATCTCCTGGGTGTCCTGGTTACGTGCTGGGCCTGCTGCTTAAGCTCCATGAGACACCGTGGGACCTTCACTGGGTTCTCCACACTGCCTCTCTAGTATAGAAGGCTCACACAGACTGGAGAAGCCTGTGCTAGGGGACCATGCAGAGCCAAGCTCCACTTCAGCTCTTGGCTCTGTCACCCCTGTGTACATGGATCTAATGAAGGACTAAATGAAACGAATCATACCAGAATCTGCCACCCTCTAACCTGTGTGTCCCAGGAAAGCATTGAATCTCACTCATTAGAGCATTCAGGAGCTGCTCAAGGAATGTGTGTGGGCATAAACTGCCCGAGGGATGAGGAAATAAAAGGGAGAGAGGAATGGGAAAGAGAGAGAAGGCAGAAAATATGGAAGGAAGGAGTGGGCAGATGGACACATTATATATTTTACTTGGTTTTATATTGAGGATTCAGGTTCCAGGAGGATTAGATCACCTGCCAGACATCAAACTGGAGAAGCCAGAGAAGACAGCACACAGGTCCTTGTTTATACATCTGTTGCTTTCAGTTAAATTTCATACACTCCAAAGGCAGAGGCCATCCATCCCTCCACACCTGTGACACCTCAGGAAGGGCCTGTAATGGGATATTTGTTCTACAAATGAATAGATAATGAAAGGCTCCAAAATGTTAGTATGGCATCGCTGTCTCCTGACATTCTCCCTAGTCACGACGCCCCTGTTCCCTACTCATCTAAATGCAGAAGAAATAGCCATCAATCACCATAGATTTCCCAAACGTCCCTCTGTAAAATAAGCTCCGGTGACTAGTCATCAGAAACACCAAGCAGCAGATGCCTACCCAATAGCCTCAAGTGGGTGTAGAAGTAAAACCCTCCCTTCTTGGTGCCACTGGGGTGAAGTGGAGTCCACCTCCCACCTGGACTTACTGCTTTCTCTCCTCTCATGTGGGAGGGTTTTAGAAATGTAACGGGGAAGCCCAGTGTTTCTTTTCTGGCTTTATCGTCAGCCACTCATACATGAAATAGAGTAAACATTTCATAGCAGCCATAGAAAAGATTAAAATAAAAGATCTATACTTGGGTTTGGTACCTAATAGGAGATTTTACAGAGAGATGGTAGCATTATCATTAAATTAGCACAGGCCTTGCAATCAGACAATCTGACCTGAAGGAGACAATCTGACCTGAAGGACAGATGCATCCTTTTCCCTGCTGTGTGACCTTGCAGGGGGTAGGGAGCGGAGAGGAGGGGGAGGTTCGGACCTTTAGCTTTCAGAGGTCCAGTCTCATCATCTGAGAGACTGAATGAATAACATGTGTGTCAGGGGGTTGCCAGGAGAATTAAATGGAAAGAAGTACACAAAGCCTCGACCTGGAGCACCCACTACCCAGAAACACCTTTGATAATTACCTAACGATGAGGTACCAGAAGCAATGGCATTAAGAGCTGCCACTTCCATCTCCTTAACAGGAAGCAAAGCTTGAGAATCAGCTGCCCTCCAGAAAAGTCTGGTAGACAGAAATGGGTTTAGATTGTCAAATCACTATCTGAAGATAAGAAAAGGCCATATTCTTGAGAGCCAGATGATACTGGGATACTTGTCAGTAAGGAATCTAGTGACATCAGGATGCAGCTGATGAACAGACAGGTTTGCCTCAGTGCCCATGGGTAACAGCAATAAGCCTGCATCGAACCCATATCCTGACATCCTGTATGCTGTGCCACAAATTGTATAGTTTGTCTAGGATTGCATTTAACAGCTTCCAAGATACAGACTGTCACCCCACAGTACCTCTGAGTCCTATAGGGACAGGGATCCTCAGAGGGGTAATTACTTCACTCTGAATACTCACAGCCATATGTCAGGGCCAGGAAGATTCACAGTGAGGGTTCAAGGCCACTGCTTGGAACTGGTTGGACTAAGTAAACAAGCCTTTCATAGGCCAAGCCTCCCATGAGTGGCTACCCCATGCCTGGTATGAAGAGTTAGGAGAGTCCTCAAAGGATACGTTAGGGGAGGGGACACATTCTTACACTTCTGTACAGTACTCCACCTGGTGCCAGAAGTAATGGAGAGGTAAGGGCGAGCCACAGCTCCTCAAGAAGCTGGGCTCCATGGAGGGGAAACGCAGTGGTGGTTGGATTGCTGAGGCAGAAGCACCTCAGAGAAGGATGAAGAACAGGGAAGGCCTTCTCAGCCATCCTGTTAAAGTTAGTGTTGTGTCAACAGATACCTAAGGGAACACCTTAAATGGAAGAGAGATTTGTTTTGGCTCACAATTCTGAGGTGTCAGTCCATGGATGACCTACCCCACTGCTGTGAGCCTGTAGAGAGGCAGGACATTAGGGTACAAGATTGTGTGGCAGAGTAAAGTTGTTTGCCTCTTAGCAACCAAGAAGTAGAGTGAAACTCAGGAAGAGATTTGGGACAATGGCCCCAAGAACATGTCCTTCAGTGCTAGACTTTCTCTAGCTAAGGCCCTGCCTCCTGCAGTATTCACCATCCCAATAATGTAGGAAATTATTATGACTGATTCCATCAGTGGATCCAGCCATCAATTAGGTAGGTCAGAGTCCTTGTGATCCAGTTACCTCTTATTGATTAGGTCCACCAGCTACAGACTGGGGCTTGGACACATGTTTCTTTTAGGAAACACCTCCTATCTAAACACTAACACCATTCATTCATATCCCAGAACCCAAAACAATGCCTGGCTAAACGGCATGTTCAGCAATAGGTTTAACCAAGACAGTAGTTCTGACACTCTTCCACTGTAAGCATTAAAACCTCATAAAGTAATAGAGCTA